TCATCTTAATCAGATATGAATACAAATTGCTTAATTGTTATTTCAATTACATAATAGTCATTGAATTTCTAAAATATGACCTTAAGTATATTTTTCATCTGAATAAATTAAACCCAAATCAAATTAATTATTTACTTAAAAAAAGTTTTCGATCACGTTTAATTTATGATAGGTCTCATTTCGTGCACTTTAATATTACCAACAAGGTAGATACTTATGAGAATGACAATATTACTAATGTTGAACTAATATCAAAACAATTCTGCCATTCCTAACATAATTTCTTTCTGGATTTTTAGTTCATAGGAAGTATTTGCATTTTTGATAGTGAGAAGACATCAAACGTTGTACCATTTACATTATTCATTAATCAAAAACATTATTTATTAATACAATTTTTCTCAGAAACGCCAAAACTCAGATCTTTTAAAAACTGTAGTCGTCCATTATTTTTGCCATATTTTATAGTTTCAAAATCCATCGCATACAGAGCACAATAAAAAGATGAACGTACGCTACAACACTGAATTATTTAGTGGTATAAATAAGAATGAACGTTACGATTATTTCGTCAGTTCTCACATGCCCCGTGGGAGCTATTCTAGAATTTAATCTTGGCGGTCGCGGGAGTCGCCGCAGCTCCTCGGTTAATCCGGCCGACCGCTCTGACCGCGCGCTTCGTCCCTCTGCCGGACGCCGCCATCTTTATTCATTCCACCACGACAAAGGGCGAGAGGAAAAACGGGGTTCTGTCTCGGGCCCGACGTCTTAAGCGGCCGCGCAAGGGGGCGAGGCGCAGGGGGCGGGGCGCAGGGGGCGGGGCGCAGGGGCCGGGAGCAAAGAGCTGCTGGTCGCCAAAGTGGTCCGGGCGTATTAGGGACAGCGTCCTCTCGACCTGAGAGAGCGCCTCCTCCACGTCTGCAGCTGGAGAGAGCGGGAATGCCACAGTTTCGGTTTATGAGGTGACGTCATTCTTAGGAGATGTTTCCGTTACTAAGTTGCCTATGTATAGTTCAATGAAACACTTTTCAGAACCATAGTAAGATATTACAAAATAGATTTAAAATCTGTAAATGCAAATAAGAGATGACATACTAAGATTAATAATACGTAAGAAAAGGGAATTTGTGCCGTTGTATAAGAATAAAAAACAACAAAGTTGTTTCAATTTCTCGAGAAACTGATATGAAATAATTTTAAATTATATCATGACACCTAAGCAAGAAAATGGCGAAATGTTTTAATGTAATGCCTAGTTGTATTCCATGTTTCTTAGAAAATGTTACATTTGCTTAGCAGCGTCGTAAAACGAAACATCACAGGTAGATGATGCTGGGTCTGCATTTCGGAACATATTGAAAAACCATAAATCGATATTATGACAGTCTATTAACTTTGACACGTTTTCGTGCACTTTTCTTAAAAATGGATTAAATTCACTCTTAATGTGAAAACTAAAATATTTTCACCATGATGTGGATTTTCCAATGTGAATGAAAAACATCTTGGTCATTAATTTGCTATGAAATTAATCTTCAAATAAAGTAGTGCCGTTTTCTTAGCAAAATATGATTATGATTTGCATGTTTAAAAAACCAAATTAAATAAGAAGTTTTCTGTAAAACAATCAACTTTGATACTATTATGCAGCGTTCATGGTGCAATAGGATAACACATAAAGAGCGTACTAGGACAAGAAGTAATGTTCTGAACGTACTTTCACACTGGACGTAGTTGAATTGAGCATTACGCAAACTCAATAGCGTACATATTTATTGGCATTATATTTAAGTTTGACTACGAACTTTGTTTTTGTATTAGTAAGTTCAAGACTTCACCTCAATTCATTTTTCTGTCAACACACGTACACTAGAAATGTGATAATGTGTGTGAACACACTATTAAATGGCAAAGTATTCTGTTCTACAATACATATCTGGCATCGTATTACCAATTCTACAAAGAACTTAAGTAGTGTAGATTCTCGATTTTGTCCAGGACTCACCACAAGAAATTAAATAAGTACAGGTAATCACAAATAACTGAAATATTGTTTATTAACTAAAGAAGCGAAATATTTCAAACGATTAAAGATCGAGGGCCCAACTATTTTCGTCATTACTTTTTCTCTTGGAATAAATGGGGCATATCCTTTTAAAAGTCAGTGAAGGTTGCAGATAAAGTGAGATATATGTAATTGCATACAAATATTTTCATCAATCGTTTCACTCTTCAAAAAAAGGGTGTAACCTCCCTTTTCACGTATTTCCTGAAAGTGAATCACCGACCCACATTATACTCTATTCTTCTGCGTAACGCGGAAATGGTTCTTTTGTGATACACTGCAACATATAAAATGTGATTATTAATATTTGATTGAAAATGTTCGGGCAAAGCTGAATTTATAGTCACACGTTTCACATCACAAATTTCAGTAATATATGAATACATTTTGCTTCCCATTTGCAAAGTTATATACAAAATTATGATAGTGTTGGTTTATCATTGACGATATTTTCCGGAAATGCAAAGACTGCCGAATTGATCCAGTTAAACTAGCTCTCTTAGTACAAATCGTATTTAATTCACAATATTTTTCAGCTAATTATATCTTGTACCATTAGATATATCTGTGAAACTACTATGGTTTTTAAAATTGTTTTGAATCCGTCCTTTGCCGATCAGCAACATCTTTCTGTGAGTCCTTTTCTCTAATCCTGTCTCTTTTTATATTGCTCTGATTTGTAGAGCTTTAATTACAACAAATAACTAAATAAATAATAAGCAAATAAATAAATAAATTCTACGTAATAAATAAATGAGAATGAGAATGAAAATCAAGTGAGGCGAATAATTTTGGGTTGGTGCGCTGCCTGGCGTTCGGCCCCTTTTAGCGCCCCCTTTCGCGGCTTGCCCTTAGACGCCCGTGCGTGAGGCGGCGGCGCTTGCAGCTAATTCAGCGGCGGCTCATTAGGCTAACGACTGACGGGCGGCGCGCGCCCAACTGCTCCTGCGCCTCCCTGCTCGCTGGCCATGCTGCGCGCGTTGGCGGGCGGCGGCCGGGCGGTGGAGGTGGTGATGGCAACGGTTGTAATATTAGTGTTTTTCATGACGATCGTGGTGATGGTGACGGTAAGGACGACTATGAAGGAGACATTGACGATGACCGAAGAAGGTAAGGGCAAATATGATCGTAGGTGATGGTGATGATGAAGGAGATGGTGATGGTAAAGGTAATGGACAAGGGGATGAAATGGGAAGAATGCGATAGAAGCTATGGAGGAGGTGGAGGTATTAAAGGCGTGGAAGCGATAGAAGCGATGGGGGAAAAAGCGATGAAGGTGGAGGCGATGAAGGCAATGAACCGATTGGGGCGACGGAGACAATGGAGGCATTAAAAAAAGGATAAGAAAGCGATGGAGACGATAAAGGGGAAGGAGGAGACGGATAAAAGAGCGAGGCAGTGAAGCGGTAGTTACGAAAGCAAAAGAAGTCTCCCACTGTGCAGAGAGCAGGGGGAGTCAGTGGGCGGTGGCAGCGATGGAGGCGAAGGGGTTGCTGCAGTGCCGGGGGCGTTGGAGGAGAAACGCGCCCAGGTCGCGTTTGCGACCACAGAGGCGGCGGCGGCGGCGGTGGCGGTCGCCGCAGCGGCAAACAAAGCTAATCCCAGAATCAGAGCCCGCGCTCCGCCAGTCGCTGCCCCTTTGGCCCCCAGCGCGCCGCCCACGGCCGCTCGCACCTTCGCCAAGTGTTGCGTTTAACTCGCTTAACCAGGTCGATACTCTTAGGCCCTTAGCGACGCTCGATGAGGTCCACCAGGGCTTCGGGGAAGGCGGCGACGTTGGAAGAGGCGGTGGAGTCGAACATGGAGGTGCTGATGGTGATCGACTTGGGTGTTTGTGGCATTGGAGCGGGAGATGGACGTGGAGATGGAATGTGAAATCGAGGGGCTTGCAGAGAGCGATGGTGTCATGGCCGAGGGCGGAGATGGTATTGACTTTAGAAGAGTCGATGGAAATGGGTGTAAGATTTTTATAAGAGTAGATGGAGATGATGGCAATCAAGATGTAAGTGACGATGGAGATTGTAGTAAGAGCAACAGTAGAGATGTCGAAGGGTTGAGGGGGCTCAACAGATGCCACTGCAATACTTGTGACCAGCAGGTCCATTGACCGGAGGTGTATTATAGTGGTCGACTGAACTGATCAGTAATTTTCCTTGGATTGTCCGATCCACACCAGGCGAATGCTTGAACACTACCCTAACAAGCAGGCCATAGACCGCGCGATCTTGGTTTCCCTTCCTTGCCCTATCTCCACCCCTTTCTTACACTTATATTTACATTCACTACTCTCCCACAGATGTCTGGAGACCAGACGGGATAATAGAGCTTGCCTCGGCTTGGATGGTGTCCCGCTGGAGGGAGATACCTGCTTGGGGAAGAATCCCGTTAGCCGATGGGTGGGACGGCGCCAATGCCGCCATTCAGCGCGTGAGGGTCAATAAGTTTCACGTCTGTTTTCCCCCAGAATGGTGTTATATGCGGTCACTCCATCTGTCCTTCATTAACGACTCGACCGGTGACAGAAAATATAATTACTTAATCGATGTAAATAATTTAATCTTTAATTAGAATGTCTTTAATTTTTTTGGCACAAAACATGCTCAAGTTATCGCTCAATGAGAATTATAAGTTAGTGTGAACCAAAATAATTCAATCGAAATAATGTAAGAAATTAATATTTAAACAAAGAACAAGAAATAATTTTGAAATAATCTTCACAATACGTTCTTAAATATTAAGTGTCTTCAGAAATATGATAGAAATCTACAACATACATCAATTCATTCCATGATATCTATAAATTTTTGATGTTCAATGGATGCAATGATTTAAAGTAAGACTGCTAACATTGAAACTCGCACCGAATGCACTAAAATACGAATAGTACGTGACACGCGCTATGGATCGATACTAACACAATAACATACCCGCACTTTCAGATTCCAGGAACAAAGCGAAGTCCAGATTCAGAGACCCATATTTCACGGCGTCCGCACGCTTGCTCCGCACCGGACCACCTTTGCCCCGGATTGATTTGTGCTACTTCGAGGGCATTGTGCTGCTGCAATTTGAAATAGTATTTCATCTCTCTCACGGTTTGTGTAAATTGAGTTCTAGGAATTTTCTCCGCATTCACCACGTGTATACGAAAGTTGATATGGCACGACACCAGAAGAGAGGAAAAATATATCAATCGCAAAATGTTCTTTTCTGCCCAAACACATTGATTTTAAAGCTAGCAATGTATAATTTCATTTCCAGGTTTTACTTATAATTATTGCAACTTTTACATTATTAGACGTGCATAATAATAGTTCTGTGAATTTTATAGTACTCGCTGATTGTTGAAAGTCATTTTATTCTACGAATAACTATGTAGTTTCTTTCTTCAGACTGGTATTCTTCTTCAGTTCTACTTTCACACGATTTGGTGTAGTCTCTATGACAATTCCTCTAACTAGTAAAATCCCAGTCAAACAAGATTATGATTTTCAAAATATACAACGTACGGTTTGCAGTCAAATGATTACAGTTCAAAATAACCATTTTCTCATTAATGTTTGTGTTCAACCCACATTCTGCTTCCGCGAATCACCAACAGAACAAGGAACAGATTTTGAAGATTACTCAATTAATCAAGGACAAGGTGATGCAATAATGCCAGATAAATGAATAATAAGTTACTGCTGAGTGTGGCTCTGTCGACCTTCCGGATCCGAGCCTACCCGCGTGCTTGCCGAGGCCGCCGACGCAATTTCCTGGGCGGCGGGCGCTGCGTCTTGTGCCCGGAAGGCGAAACGCTGGCGCGCCACCGCCGGGGGAGGGGAACCAGTGGTGGGGTTGGAGGTGGAGATGGAGGTGACAGCACGAATACAGTCATGGGTGAGGGGAAGGCTCGGCGACGGAGGCAGGATGAGAGGAAGGAAGGCGAAGTGGAGGCGGGGCGCAGGTGGGGTGGGGGCGCGGTTGAGGCAGAGTGAGGCCGTAGGCGGAGGGAGGGGAGCTGAGGATGTGCAGAAGGCGCGGGTGGAGGCGAAGTGGGTGGGGAGGAGGGGACGACGGGCGGAAGCGGGGCGGCGCCAGGTAGAGACGCGAAGGAGAACGGGGGGTGAAGGTGGAGCGGAGGGCGTACGGCGGAAGTGGCTACGAGTCGGGGGCGGCAGGTCAACCCGCCGCCTAGCCTTCGCTGTAATTCCGGAAGGATCGACTAAATCGCACAATTAGAGGCGAGGCGTCTCCTGCAGCAATGATGAGGGGAGAGGATACTAGGTACGAGTAAAAACGTCTGAGCGCTAGGACGGTAGTCAAGGTCTGCTAGCAACTTATACACAAGTGAAATAATTTATTACATGTACTTTAAACGAATACGCTCTTCCGATTGTCGTTCTTCTACGTTCCTCCGCCTTTTTTTGAAAACCAGCGAGCATCGTGACCGAAGTTTCAAAACTATATGACGTTTCAACAGGACTAGTGGGAGGACTGTGTAATGTGGTCTCCTGGTATAAGAGAATGGTGTAAAGTGTGTTCGGGTGGGGCAGGGTGAAACGAACAATCTAGAGACGCAGGAGGCGAGACGGTTATGTTCCCTTAGTTGCTTTCCTATAGTTGCGTTGGAAAATAATAGGTCGGAAATTTCTTTAAAGTAGACATGTAGGTGGAATAAGAGAAATGAGCGAAATATTTGTGAATCAAATTGCATGCCATGCCTTCCTATCCCTTTGGAACGTTTTGAACAACTCTGAATTGTTTGTATTTTATGAAAAAAATATTCACAATTGACAAATGACTTTATAGTGCGTGTAATAGTCTACCTACAATGCCATTTTATAGTTATTTCTCCCAAAATTTCTTCAGATTAAAATTTAGAAAAAAAAGCAATCGTTATTGTAGCATGTTCATTTGGTTTAAAGTTTTTAAAAAGTGTATTGATTGAAATAGTAAAAGTGTAAGATGCCCCCCAAAAAAGTACTTGTGCACTACATTGTACATTTCTAACATTGACAAATGAAATAGAATTTCAACAAGCTGGTGAGACTTTTATGTGTAGGTAAAATAGTTTTGGCACAAAATCGTTTTTACAAGAATACGTGTGCTGTGAAAACTGTCGCATTTTTAAAGTCCAAAAGTGGAACATCCCAACGTATCAAGACTGTATTCTCCATAACGGTCAGCTCTAGAATTTTCTTGAATACTTATTTAGAAGTCGCCATGTAGCAAGTACCCTCAGTGACCTAGGAATCTCTTCTCTCCCATTAGGGCAACACTAGCCGCTAAAGTGTTATTTCTGGATTAAACTTTGCACTCACAAGTAAAATCTCCACTGCGATGAAAATGAGTATGACCTCCCCCATTACTTCGAAGAGGATTGGTGTAAAGAGCTTGCACTTAAAAGAAAATGGAATCACGAAATAAAAGCTACACGAGAGAAGCAACAGTCTAGAAAAGCGTCGACGGTGAGAGAAGGATACGATTATCGCCAAATTCAAGATAAAAAAGCAAATCTATATGCTAAAGTTCGACTAAGGCATTCATTCCGATACTTTTACATCTTCACCTTACGGGACGTTTGTGGTTTGATGTGTTTTTTAAAATACTTATTTTCTTATCTGAAAGAAAGAAGTTTCGTTCTACAAACAAAGTTGCCACGTTATGAGGGAATAGTAATATCGTGATTGTATTCGATCTAGAAGGATATTATGTTTTTCGCTTGATTTTATACGATCTTTATTTACGTGTTCAGAGTAGTTTAAATAGCTCGTTATTACACCTAATATAATCGATCTTCCTTCGAAAGATAACATAGCACATTATTATAAACAAACGTGTTTTGACGTATTAATGAATTTGTAAATATAACACATTCTTTGCAAATGCAAAAATTTATTGTATCGTTGAACAAATGTATTTAATATTTTAAAAGCGAATTTATTACAAATATTTACCCGTTTACATGTTAATTTGTCAAGATTTTAGCTGCGCGGGCCTAAATGTTTTTAACGAAATATTAACGAGGTTAGAAATAAAATTCGTAATTCAGAATTATTTCATCTAGAAAAATTAGCACGTAAGACGTACCATGATAGTAATTTCAAATAATGATAATAAAAAAAATAATTCAATAAATATTCAGTTATGTAGCAGAATACAATGTAATATTTAAATCAAACATCCGAATTATACTAAATTAACTCTGATTGAGTGATTGCTTCCAGAACACCTCTGCCTCCCGCAACTGTTGCCCGAAAAAGATTTCTGTCTTCTTGACAGCTGAGGTGGGGCAATGCGATGTTGCCACTTTCTCATTCGGCAGTCACGTGGTTGTTTAATCGTTCTCGCATTAGATCACGACAACAGCAGCAGTAGCAAGAAACATATCGCTACAAGAGCACGCAGCAATAGACGACCCACACACAATGCACAACGAAAGAATTAACGGCGCTCTTCAACTTGCACATGCTTCGCGCTTTTTCTTTATAAGTATCGGCACCTCTGCAGTGACATCAGAATTTTTAGCTTCTAATTGGATAACGGAAGCCCATCTCCCCTGTCAGACACCAACTGCCAAGTCAGCAAAATGTTATTGCGATAATTCGCCCACAAGTGGGCAGTCCAAGGGGGAGAGGACTCTCCGAGACAGTGCACGGTGACGGTGGTAACTTCAGGCTTTCCACACCTCCCGTGGGGTTCATCTTTTTTGACTTTAAAATCCACCCTTTGCCACGGAAACTAGGTGGTCAGCAATACGTGTGGCTGCCAAACCCGAGCAGATAAGCGGACAAGAGTTGATGGTTGACTTTCAAAATTCCTCGGGAAGTTTCGAGAAAGAAACAGCATTATTATTGTAATGAAAGTTTACTATGTATAGTCTACATTACAAATAAAATCAAAAGAAATACAAGTTTCAAAAGTAGAAGAAGTTTCTAATCTCAAAATCTTATAAAATCAAAACTTGGATATTTATGTGACCATAGTTACCCTTCCCCATCTCCACGAGAGCATGCACACCCACCTTGAACTTTAATCTACAACCTTATTACCCTTAAGGCAGAAACAAATTTCCCAAAAGAGCAATTTCCGTGAAACCCATTCTGCGGTTAAAAATTAAGAAAAAGTGGTATTGAAACTTGAACTGAGTTTTTCGATTTTTTTTTTTTTGTATTAAATAAAGTAGATTTTCGCGGAAGTTCTGAGAACTTTATATATATTTTAACGCTAATAAAAGAAATTCCAAAAAAGGTCCCAAATGGTACCCAAAAGGCGTGTTGAGACATGAAACAATGGCTCGTTTGAGGTCTCGTCCCTGAGGTCCCGTTCCGAACACACGTCGTGCCTTTTGTCAACACACCTGTGAGCGGATGTCTTTGACCTAGCAGCCCCGAACTGCGAGGGCTGGCTTTGACATTTGCCCCCGCCTGCGGTGCCCGGGGCGAGCGCCCGCCGATAACGAGAACAGTCAAGTCGGAGCCAGAGGGATGGACGTCGAGGGAATGGGGGGAGGGCGGCACGGGAGAGGGGGGCGAGATGGCGGTAGGACGAGAACAAAGGGAAGGAGAGAATGAGGAGGCGAGAACGAAAAGGCAAGGGAGTACAGGGAGAAGAGAAGAAGATAAAAAGAGAGGGCGGAGAGGAAGATAATGATGAATATGAGGGACACATGGAGAAAGGAATTCCCTGGGAGGACTGTTGGTATCTGAGAATGGTACAATACACGAATCGACACGATATATCGAATAGATACCAGGTAGAGAAGAATAATGAGATATGTCAATATTATTGACTATTTCATATATTCTAGTATATTCGTATAAATAGTAGATTAAGAGAGCAATTGAGTTATTCATGGAGAACAAAATTGAGTATATTGATAAAACATTTTGAAACTATTATCATTTTTATTATTGTATGTAAGAGCGCATTTTGGCTCGAGTGTCCGACTTGCCCGCTGCCTGTTTCCCCTCATGCCTGGGCCTAGTCAAATATTCATGGTTAGGGGGTAAGAGAAACATGAGGTATTTCCCTTCGCCGTAACTAGCAAACTCCGCCTGCCGCGGGCTTTGCTTCGGAACAGCTTCAAAAACTGAGAATATTTTAAATGAAAGCTACAACTCTATTTGTGCATCGATCGGAAAACTATTATTATTATTATTATTATTATTATTATTATTATTATTATTATTATTAATGCGTGTTCTGGAATAATGCCAAACATCACATTACGCATACCCCCAGGGAATTCTGAGAGCCAAATGTCACTCATTCAGTCGCTAACATTTTAATGATCCACACGTGGAAAACTAGTATTTTCCAGACAAATGAGCAATTTATCTCGAAAAACAATCACTCAAAGTAATATGTTGACCCGTAAATGTTGAAACTCTCCTTCCAGGAAGCTGTCATTGCAACAGTGAAGCACTCGCGCTCAGGCCTTCCGAGAAACACTTTTGGGGAGTAAAATGGCGGACACTTTTATGGAATAAAATAGAAAATGTTTTCGAATTTATTTTTCATTATACAATTGTTTTCACACACTTTCATTTATTGGCACTATGTCAATATTAATACATCAGCAACATAAAGGTTTAGGAGTTTTTGACATTTTTCATATCTTAAAACGTTTTAAATTATTGTGAAAATTCGACAAAGCTCCATATTATTAGTAGAATGTCCAAATTGCCCACTTTTACTCCTCTTAGTTACGTCCATAATAACATTCAAACATTTCCTAGAAATTCATTCCAAAAACAAGGACTGATTGTGAAGCTCTGGGAATGGAAGTGCGGGCAGTGTAGAAGAAATTGCAGCGAACAGAGGAACAGCAGTGGAAGGAGAATGGGGTCTATAGTGGAGTTAGCGGCGAAGTCCATGGATCCACAGGTGAGACAAAGCGCCCCAGCATTTGTTCAGAGCTCACCCGAGACCTCTCTAGCAAACAGGGCTCCGGTGCAGTTAAGAGCGGTTCGCAATCACACTCGGTCACCTGCGAGTGTGGACACAGTCCGAAAATTAGGTCCGCATTTTATGCTTGTTACCTTCTCTCCTGAGGCAGGTAATTCCATTGCATCTACACTCGCATTACAGAGTGTTGGAAAAACAGAATAAAGAAATTTTATCTTATGAAATATACTCGTACTACAGCTACATTTATTATAACGGTTCGTATACACACGCGTATAAATCCCAGAAGGG